GTCCCAAGGCAAAAAGGAAATTTTGCCCAGGGGCCACGTTTCCTCTTACCATACATGCATATTAAGGCAAATTATGAACCAAAGGTCATAATTATAGGGAATGATGTCTTGGTTTCATTAAAATAAAGATCCTAATAGCAGGGCTGTGTATACCTTCAGAGTGTGCTGGGCACGTGACGGGAGGCCTCGGTGGGTATGGGCTCCCACACAGGCTCCGTGCCCATCTGACAGGGAGGGGCTGGGCAGGGGTCTCCTTGGCCTCTACTAGTTGGATTGGATGCCTCTGCCTCTGCTTCCAACTCCTCCAGATTTAAGGGAGACTCATTTTGTTGTGCCTGCCTCTCACAATAGAGCAGTGATGGTGAACCTATGACACGCATGTCAGAGGTGACACACGAACTCATTTTTTTGGTTGATTTTTCTTTGTTAAATGGCATTTAAATATATAAAATAAATATCAAAAATATAAGTCTTTGTTTTACTATGGTTGCAAATATCAAAAAATTTCTATATGTGACACGGCACCAGAGTTAAGTTAGGGTTTTTCAAAATGCTAACATGCCGAGCTCAAAAGGTTCGCCATCACTGCAATAGAGCCTGGTTAGGTAGCTGCCTCTTGCCATAGTAGCTGCCTCTTGTGATCGTGCCCAGCCAGGAAGTCATGCCTGGCACTTGTGGTTTCTTTCCCGCGTTACAGGATACGAGTGCCTTTCTAACTGGGATACTTTTCCTTCAGCAATTCAGTACCTCCAGACCCTGTGATGGCTGCAGTTGTTCCGCTTACAGCTTCATGAGAGAGGTTCCATCTGTGGTTTGTCAGCGGAATGTGCGCTAGATGGCAGCAGACAAAAACGTTTCCTAGGGACCTGCCCTGAGGTGTTCTCAAGATGCCCGCAGAAAGCAGGTATTTCTAGTTGTGCCCACCAAGGTGTTATTCCCGATATGCACACAAGATGGCAGCAAATAACACCTCTGGATTTATGTAAATGAGAAGCCAGACCTGGTAATAAACTCACTTAAAAAAAAAAAAGTATATATATGTTTTTATTGATTTGGGAGAGGAAGCAGAGGGAGAGATGGAAACACCAATGATGAGAGAGAATCATGGATCGGCTGCCTCCTGCACATCCCCCACTGGGGATGGAGCCCGAAACCTGGGCATGTGTCCTTGACTGGAATCAAATCCAGGACCCTTCAGTCCACAGGCCCACGTTCTATCCCCTGAGCCAAACCGTCTTGGGCAGTGGTCGGCAAACTGCGGCTCGTGAGCCACATGCGGCTCTTTGGCCCCTTGAGTGTGCCTCTTCCACAAAATACCGACTTCTGCGCAAGGGCCATGAAGTTTCATTCGCACTGTACGTGCGCGCCC